ATAATCTAGAGGATCTAACGTTAATTGAGTCAAGTTAAATGTATCTAATAGTTTAGTAAATTGTATGGGAGTCTGTTTTCTGATATTTTCTGGTAAGTTTGAGTATAGGCGAGGCACTCTATAGAAAAATGATTGTAAACGTATTTGAGTATTTGCCCCTGGAAGATAAATTTTAAATGCGTCGCCGCGGGTTTTGGTTTCATGGAAATAAAAGGCGTTATTTAGATTGATTCTGACATATCCATGTATAATTTTGTGGAAAAAATTTAGACAATTGTGTTTAGAAACTTAAAAAAACTCTGACGTCCTCACAAAAAAATAAATAAAATGGAAACAAGAAAGTTTTAATCAAGCCATTTTTGTGTGTTTTGATGTTTTTAATTTAATAGGGCTTATTTCAATTATTTTCCCTTTTATTTTGGCAACAAAAGAAGACAGATAAATAACCAAAAAAAAGCTTCCCTTTTCTAGTACCAGAAAGGAAATAATTTTATTTTTTTATTTAAAAAGCCAAAAGTCAACTAAAAGTAAAATGATGTTTTTTTTAATTTAAAAAGGGAAATGAAAATATAAATGTGTGGAGGAAAATATTATAGCAATTTTGGAAAGTCTTTTTATTACTTAAAAAGAGAATATATAGTAGATAAATAACCAAAAAGCTTGTATCTACCGTCATTTCTAAATATTCCACCAGAACCAGGGATGTGCGGTAACTGAAAAACCGAAATCGAAAAATTTTTTAAACATCATAGCACCTATAAAGGTTACAATAGAGTAGAAGTTATACCCATTAAAATTTTAGTGATTAGGTGTGTACTTTATAAATAGTGTTAGAGAGTGCTTGCATAAAAGTATATACACGATTAAGGTTGTCGGGTAGTTGGAAATTTCCGGATGTCAGGATCTGGATCCGGTATCCGAACAGAAAATTTCCGGATATCCTTATACACAATTGGTTATCGGCCCGAAAACCTAAGAGTCAGTCAAAAACCTTAATTTAAACCCCAGTGTATCAGTTAATAACGGTAGTGAACACCCCCCCCCCCCCCATACATAAAAATTCGTTTTCAAAACAGAATTGAAGACGAAGAGTTGTCTCTCCTTTTGAAAGGTATTTTTAAAACGAGGCTTTAAAAATACCTAATTAGTATTTTAACTTTAAATAATTAAACTAGAAAATTCTTTTTTTGAATATCTAATTTAAATGTCTCGTTACTATTTTAGCTTTTTAAAACAGAGAAAAGTGCGGCCATAAAAAAATAGATTGATAGTTAAAACTAAAAATAAATTAAAAAAGGGAAGTAAAAATAAAATTTAAATTTATTTTTCAACAAAAAAATATTCCAAAAACGCCCTTTAAAACAATAAACAGATTTATTCTCCACTCAAAAAAATTTTTAAAAATATTTAAAATAAAGTGTAGGAGTGAGAAGAAAAATAGACTTGTAAATCTTCCTTTAAATGTTGATAAAAATCAAAATAAATTTCTTTGTAAAATAAATTTTTTTTTGAAAAAATTTTCTAATTGTTTACAAATTTAAATTGCCATAAGGATAATAATATTTTTTAATTTTTTAAAATTAAATAGAAGGAAGGTAACAAAACAGTAAAATAATAAGGGCTCTAAAAATGCGTCAGGGCTCTCCCTAGCTATTTAATTATCGTAAAGGTCCTAATTACATTCTCTACATATTGGGTCTTTAGAATGGGTTTTTTAGAAATGGCTTTCTTTTAGGGCATTTATACAGTCTTTTGTATAAAGACCCGACTTCGGGAATCTTGACGGCAGGATCCTTGGTACGAGCGACAATAAGATGACCTATTATTTAGAAATCTTTTAAAGGCTAATTCTGGCATTTAAGTAAAAATAACCAGCTTGACTAAAAAAAAAGAAAGAGGATAATAGGTATATTAACAATTGGATGTTATTTTTAAAAATATTTATTAATTATTTAATGACGCACATATGTACATACATATGTATCTGGAATAAATAAATTTTGTTCTTTTGTTCTCTTTTCAAAATAATAAAAATATTTTATTCGTCTAAATTAAATTGAAATATGTAGAAAATAATATTTATAGGGCATTTTGTTTTGGCTTCTTTTGAATGTTTTAAACAAAAATTTTAAAAGGGCAAATAATCTATGTATTAAGGTTAATTCTTAAGATAAATTTTCAAAAGAATGATAAGACTGAATTTCACTCCGATTTTAAGGAAGAAGACGGAAATTTGCTTAGATTTCGCTCAGATACAGGGATACTTAGATCCCTTATGTTTACTTAAAAATTATTTTGCGTCTTGCGACAGAAATTAAAGAGACTTCCCCAAATATTTTTCTGTCGCATGACGCAAAGCGATTTTTAAGTAACTTTAGCCATGCGTCCAAGCGATGTTTAGAAGCCTGTGTATGAATTACGATTTTTTCTCCTAAGGCCTTCCAAAACAAGCAAAAAAATGTATATATGTACGAGTATGAGGAAAAAATAAGGCTCGTACAAAAATACGAGTACGAGCAAATTTTAAAATTCCAAACACTGCTTCCAAGTTTATATAAAAATATAGAAAAACTTTAGAGAAGCATTAGGAAACAATAATTTTAAATAATTTTCTCTTAAAAAATTAAATTTAGAAAATTTATTTAAAATTTTACACAACAATTTTCTAATATTTATTTTAATTTTTTTGGTATTAATCTTTATAAAAAAGTATTGTTCTTTAATTTAACTAAAATTAAACAAAGGAAAGAAAATTATTTTTGAACGTAAATACAAATTTTTTTCATAAAATAATTTTAAAAATGCAAATAAATTAAATTTAGAATTTTAAAAAATAAATGTGTGTTACGATTATTAAAGATCGTACACACATAGTTGTACAATTATTAAAAAAATTTTCTTTTTCATGAAAAATTTTTTCTAAAGGTGTACGGCTATTCCGAAACTTCCATACCAGAATTGAATAAAAATTGACAGAAGGCGAAAGAAAACACAATTTTACCAAATCCGCAATCCTCAATTGCGTGCATCTCTGTTTCCCAAAGTTTCCCAAAACAACCCCTCCACAAAAAACCCCTACCTTTTCCCAAATTGTTTTTATTAGAAAGGGTATTTTTTAAAAAAAAATTGGCTCAAAAGGAAAATTGGCTATTTTTTATTTAAAATTAATAAAATTAATTAAATAGGAATGTAAAAAATGGTAGGCCAAAATAACAATTTAATAAGTAAAACCTTCAGAGTTGTTTCGAAATTTCGATTTTCGAAGTTTTTTTTGTTTCAAAACAGAAAATATTTAATAAAAATAAAATTGTATTTATGAAAAAAATTTAAAAAAATTAACTCAGGAATAGTGTTGGGCTCGAATGCTCGGGGGCGGTTGTGTCGGGGTACGGGGTTTTCGAATTGTTTCAGGGCGGGGAATGGGTCGAAGAAGATCTGAAAAAATAGTTCGGGGAACGGGGTCAGAGGATAACTCTACTTAAGAAAAAATAAAATTTTTTCTCGTATAAATTACAGTAATTCTTAACGAAAAACTTTCAAAAGTAACTAAGAAAACTTAAAAAAACTTCCAATTTTAAACCAATTCTTTTATTCTAAAAATAGTACTAAATAGTGTTTTTTAAATTTAAATTAAAGCTGTATAAATAATTTACAAACAAATATAATCGTTTCTTGAAGTTTAAGAAATTTTTTTACTAAAAAAGTAAAATTTAATTGTCTTTAAAGCATGAAAGGAGTAAAAATTTTTTAATTGTTTTTAAGTCCAAAATTAAATTTTTTTAAAAAAGGATAAATGTGTGTGTGTTGAAAAATGACCTTTTTTAGTTTAAAAAAGTTTTTTTTAATTGTTTTTATTAAATTTAAAGACTTTTATTGTCTCCCAAACGTCATTTAAAAAATAAAAAATTAAAAAAAATAATAAAAATATGTAGTGAATGACGAATTAATTGAAAAATAATATTTAAAAAATAACAAGAAAAACACTTAGAATTCATAAAAAGTACAATTTAATTAAGAGTGTAAAAGAGGATGGATCTATCCGATGGAGACAGCAATGATTGGATGGGACTAGAGACTGAAGTTTCCTACTAAACGATATCCCATAACGTACTACCGATATGGAATACCGATAAATGCCGAGAAATGACGTCGTAGTATATAACCGTCCGGGCTCTAGATGGGACTTAATCTCCGAGAGCTGCCCAATTCAAAATTGCTCAAGACTGGCATTAAAAATAATTTGTGTTTTTTCTAAAGATACAAGCATATTTATCCTGATTTAGCTACATACTCGAAGAAACATGTTGAGAATTTAAATTTAATTTTTAAATAACATAAAATTAATTAATTTTCCAATAAGCCTCATTCAAAATTTATTATTATAAAAGCGTGTTGATTGTTTTATTGTTATTTCCAAACACCCTAAAACTTCAAACACCTTAACTCTACGTCAACATCGTCTAAACAAAAACAAAGCAACGCTTCATGCTCTTCTGCCTCCTTCATCCAATGGACCACAACACCGGACCTTTGGCAAGGAAGTCGTCAATGCTTTGTGTTCTTCTGCTGGTATCCATCGCCGCTCTCTTGGTGCTTGCAGTTCCTGGACAGGCCAAAGTTGAGGAAGTCGGAGTTGCCAATCACATCTTGGATCAAGACGAAGACGAAGTGGAGATCAAAGAAGGTATGGAGGCCAAAACGAGCTTAACTTATGCCAAGTACAAGGAGCGTTATCCGACTGTCTGTGAATTTTCAATCACTAAAGAATACATGTAAGCTGATTTTTATTAAAATCTGAGAAAATATTATTCAGATATTTTTATATTTTTCAGAGTTCTTACCTACAATGGTAACAATGGGTGCACTGTGGAATTGGTCACCAAGAAGAAGAACATGCTCAAATTCACGGCTGGAGTGAAAATCAATGGTAACTGTCTTAAAGGCTGCAATGAACATGCACATTTTAATGATGGCTTTTCAAATCTGTAAGTTTAAGATAAATGCCAGAAGACCGTTTTTATTCAACACGTCTTTCTAGAATGCCGTTTGCCTACAGCAGAAACAATGAGGAACTCAAAAAGCTCAACAACGGTCCACAATTTTCTAAAGGTGAAGCGTGTACTGATAAGGCTTGCGTGAATGGATGTTTGGATGAGACGTTTCTTGAAGTCTCGTGGAGCAAATGTAGAGATGGAGTATACGCTCACACCCATTTAAGTAAGATAACGAGTATTTTTATTTTAAAATAAGTTCATTTTAGTTGGCGAATATGAGACGGGCATGGATCAATTTAAAGAAGGAGAAAATAAGAAGGAATTCACATTCGATCTGGAGATATATGATAATAACAGCTTCAAAATGGATTTTGAGGAAGGCGTAGAAAAAGTTTTTGACCCGAAAAAAGTTAGGATCCAATGCGTTAAAAAAGCCGAGGCCATTGCCAAACCAAAAACATGGAAAATCGTCAAAAATGAAGACCTGAAGGGTAAACATCTGCTCGTCTTCCATTTACTTCCACCAAAGGCTACAGGAATGTATAAAGAGGGCGGCTTTAAACAACTTAAGGATAATCCAACATGTGATCTCTTCATTCGCTTTGTAATCCTTTACAATCTTTCTAAAAATCCAACTAACTTTTATCATTTAGGAAAGGGGACCCTACGAACTTCTTCATGTCTCTCGGACAACAACTACGGTTACTACAACAACGACAACAACCGAAACAACACCAGCTACCAACAAACAATCTTCAACAGCAGAAATAAATGAGGGAGATACTACACCAACAGCAAAAGTGCAGGAAGTAAAGGACACCGAGAAAGGAAGTAATGTTGGGATTGTGATCATTGTGATTATTGTTGTGTTGGTGTTTGGAATTGGCGGTGGATTCCTTGTTTGGTTCTATGTTTTTAAAAAAGAACCAAAGCAACCTGAAGAGGAAGCTGAAGAGGACAAAAAGGAACCAATTGAGAAGGTAAAATAAATATTTTTAATTTGACTAAAATAATTTTTTAATTTTTTCAGTTTTGGAAGCACCACAAGGACAATCCAGAAGATATGCCTTCCCCAAAAGAACAATACGTTTTGGGTGTGTTCGACAAAATGAGTAGACAGGACACGGTGACCTACAAGAGGGTGCTCTTTGAGTTGTATCTGCCGGAACTGATCGAAAAGGATATTGCTACTATTGGGAATTTTGAGGAATGGAGAGAGAAGGTAAGCCAAAGCAAAGGAAAATATAAAATAAATTCACATTTTTCAGAATGGATTTGTTCTGACGGATCTGGAGAGGGATGACGAATTCTGCGAGAAAATAGATAAGGCGATTAAGGATAGGAAAGAAAAGGAAGCCGCCAACAAACTGTTCAATGCTGCTAAGAAGTGATGGGAGGGAGAGATGTTCTGTGAAGTTTTGAAAATAAGAATAAATACTAGAAGTTGAAAAGATATTTTTTGGAGAGATAAATATATAGAGAATAATTTGTAAATCATTCATTCTTTGTTTAATTATTTCTCAAATCCCCAATATTCTCCAAATCTCAACAAAAAATACTTGTATTTCCCCTCTATAATCCCTATATTCACCTCTAAACATATATTTCCTTATTAGGCTATATGCCTCTATATATGTGTATAATCTATGTCTATTTTTCCTATATACACAAATTTCCTTATATATTCACAAATATCCCCTATATATTTGCAGGATGATTTGTTGTATTCCCTGCTATTTTTCATTATATATTGTATTGTATGTATATGTATTTTTCTGTATATGTTTTTATTGTATTCATTGTGTTTTAGTTGTGATAAATATGATTGTTGAATATCTCCTTTCTATTGTCTTATTTTCGAAATCGGAATTTTATTCGTCTCATATGACTGGAGCCGAATCCCATTATGGGATCACACTATAATTTAACCCCCAGTCCGTGAATATTTTTTAAGTTACTCAAATTGTTTTTAAGGGATCTATATTTTAAAATTTTTTATTACCCAAATCACTGCCCATTTCATTCACTTCCCAAGATGTCCCGAGAATCGAGATACCGCAAATCTTCTAATAGAATCACATATGCTTCTATTTTTCGATCCTCTCGTAGAGTGTGCTTATATTAAGGAGTGTGCTTCTACTAGAGAGTGTGCTTTTATTTTTCAATCTATGTTTCAATTTTTTAAATAAAATTTCATACCACACATAAAACAAAATAAAAATTAAATTTCATTTAAATTTTATTTTCAATTGATAATTTTCAATCTAACCAGAGCGGTTTCATCGACAGCATAAATATGATAAGACCATAAATATAGTCTCAGCATTTTCTCAATGCTGGATATTAATGTTGGCGGATCCAGATCCGAAAAAGGCCGGATAACCGGAAATTTTCTGTTCGGATGCCGGATCCGAGGATTTCCAACTATTCTCCAACCTTACTGTGTATGGAGCCAGTGGAGCCGGAACTAAGATTTTAATAACCCCGGAGTCTGAGTCAACGTTAAAAAAAAGGTTGGAGACGGGGCCAACAAATGCTTATATTAATCCAAAATATTCCATAAATAGTCGTTAAATTAAATTTGAAGAAAATTAAAAGAAACACGTAGTATGTATTAAATCAAAAATCAGAAAGTTTTTTAATTAAAAAATTAGATTACCGTATTTTTCCCAATAGAAGCGCAGTCTACGAGGAGGTTGAAAAATACAAGCGCAGGTCCCATTAGAAGCGCACGTTCTATTATAAGCGCACCCTATGGTATACTTATTTGTGCAATATAAATTTTAATTTTCAAAAAATTTAGAATTACTATTTACTTTTTAGTTACTTTTTAATTACTTTTTAGTTACTATTTTAAACAAGTATTCTTCATTTACATTTAGATTAAGAATTTACACTTTTATATAGAAAAAATGGAAATTGATGTTTAGGTGAATGTTCAAGTAATGTAACCGGAGTTATACTCGAAAACGCAAAACTTATTCTATCGATAAATTTTTCTCAATCTTCCCTTTGTACTACTTTCACGTAAACGACCAGATCCCTCTCTTGTCGAAACGATTTAAGGTTTTTGAGTTATAATTGGGAAAAAACTTATTTCCATCTTCCCTAGGGGATGGAGTGGAAAAAGCTAGATGGATGATGCCATCACAATCGGGTATTTGAGAGCAATTATAGGGCAACCATTGTTCTCACAACGCCTGCTTATATGGGTCCACCACCATGAAATTTTATTTGGGATGGATAGTTAAAGCATGAGATATGATTTCAAAAATGTTGCAAAAAGCTTTTGGGTTTGCGGAATTGGAATTCCAAGTGACAGTTCCGAAAATGATGAAATAAATTGTTTTAGACCAGAGGGTCAGGCTTTATTACATCCAGCTTGAGAGGATAAAGAAATTTCAGAAGGTTAAGAAATTGATCTTAATGAAGATATTGAAAACGGAATTTAAATTGATAATTTTATAGAGATTTAATATTTGTTTTAAATTTCTATTACCTATGTTAGAAAAATTAATCCGCATATGGGTTGAAAAATACAAGCGCACGTCCCAATAGAAGCGCATGCGCTTCTATTGGGAAAAATACGGTAGTTAAAAAGTTAATTTGATTTCGTAAATGGTTCGTTTTTTTCCTTTTTTTACTCAATGGTTTTTTTTTGAAACGACAAAATTTCGTTAGTAATTGATGTAAATTTTCGTTAAGCTAATGTTGTCTTGATATTATAAAATTTTAAATGATTCAGATAAATAAGTAATTACAAGAACATAAGAAAATTTCAATAAAATGAATCAACCATAAATGTTTTTTCGTATCTTTTAAAATACAAACATATTTTTTATGTTTAGCCAGTCTCTCTTATCTTTAGCCAGTCTTTAGCCAGAAACAAAAATTATATCTACCTAGACTTCTAATTAGCCTCATGTAAAATTTACTATTATAAAAGCTTGTTGATTGTTTCATTGTTCTTACCAAACACCGAAAAACTTCAATCACTTCAACTCTACGTCAACATCGTCCAAACAAACAACAAAACAACGCTTCATGCTCTTCTGCCTCCTTCATCCAATGGACCACAACACCGGACCTTTGGCAAGGAAGTCGTCAATGCTTTGTGTTCTGCTGATGATATCCATCGCCGCTCTCTTGGTGCTTGCAGTTCCTGGACAGGCCAACGTTGTGAAAGTCGGAGTTGCCAATCACACCTTGATTGGAGATCAAGTGATGGTCGAGGAAGGAAGTATGCAGGCCAACACGAGTGTAATATATAACGACTACAAGAAGCATTTTCCGGATGTCTGTGATTTTAAAATCACCGCCGAACACATGTATGTTGATTCTCTTAAAATTAAAGGAAATATGTAGACGTGTTTTATTTTCAGTGAACTTCTTTACACCGGCAGAAACTGCACTGTGGAGCTGATCACTGATGTTCAAGGAAGAATCGAGTTAACGACTCGAGTGGAAATCAACGATACCTGTTTGGAAGACTGCAAGGGCCAAACTCCGAATTTTAAGCGTGGATTCTCAAATCTGTAAGTTTTGAATTATATGCCGTTTCGGCAAGTACATGTTTAACACATCTACATGTTTTACATTTCTATACATGTTTAACACATCTTTTTAGCCTCCCCTTCGCCTACAGCAGAAAAAATGCGGATCTCAAAAAGCTTAATGAAGAGCCGAACTATAGTACCGATATATCTTGTTTTAAAGACGAGAAGTGCGGAGAAGGGTGCATGGAGCAGACTTTTCTTGAAGTTTCGTGGAGCAAATGTGATGGTGAAATATTCGCTCATACCCATCTAAGTAAGATACCTAATATTTTTACTTTCAAATACATATTCATTTTAGTTGGTGAATATGAGACAGGCCTGGATCAATCACGCAAGGATAATAAGAAGGAATTCGATCTGGAGATATATGCTAATAGCAGCTTCAAGATGGATTTTGATGGAAGGCCAGAAACATTTACAACAACTGGAAACAAGAAGATTCACTGCCTTCCAACAACAGAAAAAAATGCCATTGTTGCACCAGAAACATGGGAAATCAAAAATGCTGATCTGCCGGGTAAATATAAATATCTGCTCGTCTTCCATCTACTTCAGCAAAAGGCTACACGAGTGTACATGGGAAATGAATACAAGGGAGAACCTAATAGAACGGAGCCAGATTGTAATCTCTTCATTCAATTCGTAATACCGAAAGATTTTTAAACGAATTTAACTAATTCTTTCTTTTAGAAAAGGAAGAACTACCAATTCCTTTATGTCCCGCCTCAGAAATCGACTACAGTTACTACCACTACAACAACAACCGAACCAACGACAGCTACCAACAAAACAATTCCAACGACAGGAACGCAGCAAGTAAACAGTACACCAACAGCAAGAGTGCAGGAAGTAAAGGACACCGAGAAAAAAAGTTATGGTTGGGTTCTGGTGATTCTGTTTTTGCTTGTAGCAGCTGGAATTGGCATTGGATTCTATGTTTGGCACAGCAAGTCAAAAAAAGCAAAGCAACAAGAAGAGGAAATTGAAGAAGTCAACGAAGAAGGATGTGATGAAGAAGGCGAGCTACAAACGGTAAAAACTAATTTTGTGAAATAAAACAATTTTTCTATTAAGGCTTATTGGGCTAACATTGGCAATGAGGACGCAATCAATGAGGCCAACTTCAAGCGGAAAATCGCAAAACTGCCCTCATTGGAAGACCAGTACGTCAGAGAAATTTACGACAGGATGAATAAGCATAAGGCAGCAGTCCACAAGAAATTGCTCTTTGAAGTGTATCTACCGGAATTGCAGGAGAAAGGCTATCCTATTGTTGGCACATACCGTGAGTGGAGAAAGAAGGTGGAGTTTTCGGGGGTTAATTTTTGAGAAATTTTATTTCATATTTTTCAGACTGGCTTTAACGTGAAACCGGGAGAGTCACGCGATATGCGCGAAGGAAGAATACAAAAGGCGGCTGAGCAAAAGAAGGAGAAAGAAGCTGCCAAAAAGTATTTCGATGAGAAACAATCCAAGGACTACTACGATGAAAATACCAAAGGTGGGGGAGAGAAGATAGTGCAGGGAGAAGTGGAGGAATTTGAACCGAAAGTGGATTGGACTAAGAAGGACTCAATTCTGAAGGAATCGACTTCAAAGCACTCCGACGCGAAGAAGGAATCGACTTCGAAGCACTCGGACGCGAAGAAGGAATCGACTTCGAAGCACTCAACTCTGAAGACGGATCCGGCACCGGAGAAGGCGGATGCTGTAAAGAGCAAGCAGGCAAATACAGCATCAAGTATTCCAGCGGAAAAGTCGGCGGTTGGGGAGACGGATCAGTAAATTGTTGAGATGTTGCGGCTAAGAATAGAACAGAAGTTGAGAAGATATTTGGAAATAGAGAATAATTTGTAAATAATTGTAAATCCTTCATTCTCTATTTCCCAACTCTAATATTCACTCAAAAAAATTGTATATTCCTTTCTATATATGGCTATATGCCTCTATCTATATATAATCAAAAATATATCTATTTCCCTATATTCCCCATATATTCACCTAAACATATTTTCTATTAGCATACTAGGCTATATGCCTATCTATATATGTATGTGTATATTTCCCTATATCCCCTATGTACCCCCTATATTATTTGCAGGTTGAGTTGTTGTATTCCCTGCTATTTTTCATTGTATTGTATGTATATGTATTTTCTGTATATTGTAATTGTTGTATTATTGTAGTTGTTGTGATATGTATTTATGAATGTTTAATTCTTCAATTAATAGGTAACTAGGAAAATGTTAGCTGAGATATCCCCAATAATAAGTATGATCTTTTCCGGAATTAATTTTTACGGGAAAATTTGTTTGTATTTTTATTCCATTCCTGAAATGCAGCTTATTTTCCGGAATTATAAGTTAGAGACATAGAAAACAAAATCTTCTATTTATATTTATTAGGTTAGAGAACAAGTACAACTTTTCGGAATAAATATTTGAGCCTACAATAAAAATTTCTATATAAAATTATGAAAATTAGCATTAATATTTAAATTAATTTTCAATTCAAAAACTTTTCCAAAATATTCACATAAAGGTTCAATTACATCGTTTACTTTAATTTGTTTATTTAATTCGTTACTTATTGATGTAGTTGATTTATCTTTTAGACCACATGGAATTATCTTAAAAATTAAATTAATTAAAAACATTTTCCAAAAAAGAATTAATTTTTCAAAACATCTTCAGGAAAAACATTTTCCTGAGAGGAATTAATTTTTAAAACATGTACCGGAAACTTTAAAAACATCTTCCGGAAAAGAATTAATCTTCAAAACATTTTCCGGAAAACATTCTTTTCTCTCATTGTCTGGCGTTATAATACATATTTTCCTTACATAATCAAACCATTTAAGGTCTGTTTCACAATTTAAAGCCAATCCATGAGAAGTAATTCCATTCCTAACTTGTATCCCTATTGCTCCAATTTTCTTTTGTTCATTTATCCAAACACCTATTAAATTAATTTTTTAAATCATTCATTTATTTATTTCTTATTTACCAGCATTTTCCGTTCTTCCAACATTTTCAAGTTTAAATTTTTCTTTAAGCATTTGAATTAATACTTGTTCTATAAATTGTTTTATAGTAATTTTGGTATAAAAATAAGTCAAATTTATGCCCTATTCCAATTTTGAAAAATACCGTAAAAACTATTTATTACCCTCCCTCAAATAATTACCCCACCTCTATTATTTACCCCCTCCAGCGAGAGATCGAAACAATAATCGCCCAGGGTAATTAATACAATTTTTATGGTAACTCTTGTTTTTAAATTATGAAAAAATTTTAATAATTTTAGAAGTTCGTCGAGTATATATTCCAGAAAAGAAAATTAATTCTAAAAAATTTTCCAGAAAATAATTAATCCAAAAACAAGTCCTAAAACAAACATTTTCCGGAAAGGATTATAAAAATACAATTATTTTAAAAATAATTAAACTTAACTATAGAAAATACAAAATGCCGAACTCCAAAAGTTTTTTGATTTTTTGGAAGAGGTAAATTGTTTAAATTAAATATCTTCAAAATTTAAAATATGTATAATTAATTTAAAAAATATTTTTTACTGGATAGGCCACCAATTGTCCTGGCCCATGAAACGTAATTAAACCGCCTCTTTTTACTCTGAAAAAAAAACTAAAAATTAATTTAAAAAATCTTTTACTGCTAGACAAAGGGAATAGGTTTATTTAAAGTCTATAAGACTTATCCCAGTATTGCCTATCCATTTGATTTTATTTTCATGTTTTATTTTACTTCTATTTATGATTTTCCGGAAAAGAATTAATTTATAACATGACACTAATTATAGCGAGTTTAACACATGGTTATTTGCAGATAAACGAGTAATCAAAATCATTTTGTTGTAATTTCTTGTCAGAATCATCGAATCAAACTGATTTTGGTGTTATTTAACTACGCTGATGAGCTCTTTCGAATGAGCTATCATTAGCATATTCAAATTTTTGATCCCAAAAATTAGCCCGGTCTCTCTACGATTTTTAGGTATTCACAAGTCTGTATCTCGATCTATGGTTGTTGGGCCGATGGCATTCCCTCCCCATTATGATACTCAGACTATAAATTAAAACCCCGTTTTAAAACATTTCCTCCCACCTATGAAATTCAGCTCCCAATTTAACAACTTTCTGTTCAGTCTCTTCTGTATAAACACCTTCACGTATACCAACAGTGTATGCTGGAGGATTATGTTCAAACATACATAAATAATGCTGCTATTTAATTTGAATTAAAATTAATTTTTATTACCTCATTAGGTTTTTGTTTTAAACAAATTTGTTGAAAGAAATATTCTTGAATACGAAGACCTCAAAAAAAATTTTGTAGAGAATGAGAATTCTATTGGAAAAACAAAAACAATTCATAAGACAGAAACAAAACAACAAACAAAACACTTCAGTCTCTTTTCTATAAATTTCCGGAAAAGTATTACTTCTATAACACTCCGGAAAACACAACCCTCCGGAACAAAACAAACAAAACATATGCTCTATTCTCCTATTGTAAATATACGCTATAAAAAATATATTTTCCTGAAATAATTCTGATATTTTCAAGTACATATGTATATTAATTTTGAGATACCTTTCGGAAAACACAACTCTCCGGAACAAAACACTCTCCGGAAAACACAAAACATTCCGGAAATAACTCTAAAATTAATTCTGATAAATTTTCAGAGTTATTTCTCTTCATTACTCCTACAACCTTTTCTGAATAACCCAAAAAATTAAATTCTATATTTCTCACCTGTTAAATAAGGCACTTCCCCAAAGAACAAAGCCTTAATCATTTAACTAGAAAAATTACTTCATTAAATTAATAGAAAAAAATATATATTTTTATTTAAATTTAAATCAAATTTAATTTTAAAAAATTAAATTAAACAAAAATAAATTTATTTTTTCCCAAAAATTCATTCAATAAATTTATTATTTTCTTTAAATTCAATTTCTTTATTTTCTTCATTTTTTGAATTCCCAATTTTATTAAATATTGGAGACGACAATAAACCCATTTTGGATGATGGAATTCTTAAAAATAAATTTTTTTTAATTTTTAAAATTTTTTAAATTTTACGATTTTAATTCTCTAGGCCCCGCAGCTTTGTAAAGACGAGTTTCTCGATATCTAAAAATAAATTTATTTTTAATTCAAAATTTTCTTTCTTTTATTTTACCTCGGTCTCCACTCCTGCATATTTGTATAAAATATTTCCCTAAGTTCCAAATCGCTAGGCCCTTTTTCTTTTATTGGCTCTGTGGAGTCTTTGTATTTTTGGATATTTTGTAAAAATTTCTGAAGAAAAAATTTAATTAATTAAAATTTTTTTCAAATTTTTAAACCTTTTTTTGTTCTTTTATTTGTGTCAAATCTACAGGTCTAGAATGCCTATAAAAATAAAAATTAATTTTTAATAAAATTTTTTCGTTGATTCTATTTCCCTAATAAAAAGAAAAAGTTACAGTTAATTCGAAAATTAATTCTTTTTCAATTACAACTTTTCCGGAGAAGGTCAAAACATTGCCGGAAATATACATATTTATTTATACATTTTTGGAATATCCATTCCGGAAACAATTTTTTCTATTTATGCCGGAAAAAATAAAGGAAAACTGTTTTGTTTTAGAATTAAATTTTCAGGAAAACCCGAGAAAACATAAATATTTTAACATAATAAACATAGAAAACATTTTAAATAAATTTAAATAAATTCTCCCTCTAATTTACTTACCCATAAGGAAAAGGAATAGAAGGGTGCCATGCAGCAACAACTCCATTTTTACAAACAACTGTTTGCCATAATTTACTTGCTGGATTTGACATTTGAAAAAAAAATCTTAAAAATTATTTTAAAAAGATTTTTTAATTAAAATAATTGAATGTTTAAATAAACATTTTTAGAAAAAAAATGAATTTAAAAAAACCAGAAAATTTATTTAAATAAAAAAAATAATTTTTTAAATTTCGTCCATTATTTAATTGTTTCAAATTTTACAAGTTCAGCAGCGTCCATCAACTGAAAAAATAAAATTTAATTCTTTAAAATAAAAATTATTTTAATGATCTAAAATCTAACAAATCGAAAAATAATTTTTTTTGAAATTCTATCCCCGAAATAAAAAGATCATTTATTTAATTATTGGACAAAACGAAAAAATCATCCTCAAAGAAAATGATTTATTTAATTATTAAAAATTTAATTTAAAATTTACCCTTCTAATCCCTCTCTTCCTCTTTTTTGTCTTTTTAATTCTCTTTTTAACATTATTATTTATTTTAATATTTTCTTCATTTTCGTCATTATTTTCTTTTGAAATTGTTTCTTTTTGTTTATTTTCTTTAATTTTTGTTTTTATTGCAGTCATTTTTTCTTTTTTTAATTTTAAATAATTTGTTCTTAATTCTTTATATTGCTTACTAAAAATATAAAAAAAATTTTTGTTTAATTTTAAAAAATCTTGGGACAGGAGAAAGTGAGGTTTTTAGTTTTTCCTTATATTAGTCCTAACCATTGGTGGGGGAATATATGGATTTACAAAAAATAAATTTTTAAAAAATTACGAAAATTAAACTTTTTCTAGGAGATAAAGACATTTCGTCCCACAACTTGCAAAATATTTAAAGAAAATTTCTGAAACTTTTAAAGATTAGGAAATAAAAAATAAAAATTTATTTATGAACAATTAAATCGCTAAATTTATTTATCGTTTTTTACAAGTTGGAGGACAAAATGTCCGTTCTTTTTTTATAACTTTCCCCAAAATTTCCTTTAATTCTAATAAATTTTTTCTAGAATTCCCTTTCCCCAAATTCTAACAAAAAAATTTCAAAAATCCCTCCTCAAAACTTCCATAAATTAAAATAAACTTACTAGGGAAAAACCTGAATATGTCGAAAAAGACTAGTTAAACTAAAAATATGATTACTCGTCTTGTTATTTGTTGTTGCTGACTTTCTAGGCTTTCTACGTCGACGATGTTTTTTAATTCCTTTTTGTAAAATATTTTCGTTTTGTTTTTCTTCCAAATCTGTTTCTTTTCCACTTTCGTCTACAGACATTATTGACTTTAGAAAAAAATTTTTTTTAATTTAATAAAAATTAAAAAAAACCTCTGCCACAGATTGACTTCTCATTCGGGTCCGTGAAATTTCTGTTAGAGAAGGAATTTGTGGGACAATAAAAGAAGTTGGATTTGTTGATCTTTCGTCTGTTTGGGTTGGAACTGGTTGAATCTAAATTAAAAAAAAATTTCGAATCAGAGGAAACGAGAATTGAGTAGATTTTGTTTGATTCTATGTAAAAAGGGAGCCAAGCCAAAAGTTTTTACTTACTATATTTCAGGATAGTCGAAAATAATTATGAGAGCTCTCAAAACTAATCCACTAATCCCATTCAATTCTTTTATTCTATGATGGGCTAACCTGAGACCCTATGAAGAAGGTTCAACCAACTTTTAAGACAAACCCAAAAAATAATCTTCATTACATTAATCCAAACTTAAAATCCTCTCCCCTTCCCACAAGTTCTTTAATTGGAAAAAAAAGAATAAAATTAATTTTTAAAAATAATTATTTAGAGTAACCTCTTCTTTTTTATTTTCTCCAATTTTTTCATCTGAACAATCCATCAATTCATCTCCAATTTCTGAATTACACAAATTTTGTTTATTTAAAAAAAGTTTTGCTTTTTTGTGTCTATGTCCATGAGAATGATGAGTCCGTTTTAAACGACTATTTAATTGATAACGCTGAAAATTGAAAAGAAATATTTTAAGAAAATATTTAAATTATTCAATCTGGGGCCGTTTCAATTAGCTAAAAATTTCGTTTTGATTTTAAATTCTTTACTAACAAGAGATTATGTAGCAAGGATGGGCCAAGTTACCCGAGACCCGCTCCGAAAAATTCTCCAAAACCCAACCCGACTTTTACTTAACCCGGCCCTCCCTGTCATTTAATACATTTCAGAATCTGAAAGCAATTTTCTGTGGACGAATAAATCGAAAAAAATAAAATTTTTATCCAAAAATTTTTTTATAAACTGCTCAAAAAACTTTAAAAACCTAATGAAAGCTTCACTTTATTAAAAAGAAAAACCTTGCAAAATCTTTTGGCAGCAGTTCTTGAAGCAAACTGAACAAAAGCAAAGCCAGAATGTTGAATAGAATTGACATTTGAAGATTGAAAGATTCGTCTTTGAATTCGTTTAGTTTGAGGTAAAAGAATATTTACAACTGAACCAAATTGTTTACATCGACGTTCAAGTAAAGAATGAGTACAATTTAAAGGTAAATTGTCCTGAAAAATTAATTTTAGGAAAAAAAATTTTTTTAATTGTTCTGAAAATAGTCCCCAAGAGGAAAAAATAAAATTGCTAATTTTTAAATTAATACTATAAAACCTCAGAAATAAATTTTATTCAAATTTTTCCTTTTTGCTTATCTCTATTTGTCATTTAATAAACCAGATTGATTTTTAATAGTTTGGAAGAAGATAGTAAAAGAATTTGGATCCAGAATTAACCAAATTGTTTACATCAACAAATATTTTTACGAATATTCGCAGTCTTAAAAATATCCAATTCGCAATCTTCAGTTGCGGACAGTCCCGATCCGAAACACCTTCGTGATGAATAAAAAGCCCGGATTTTCTCAAAAATTCCCCCAAAGTTTAAAAAAATTAATTTTCTATTCAAAAAATACCAACAACATAAACAGTCCTTTCTTCGTGTTGAGAACGTTGTTTTGGATTAATTAGTAACCAAAGTTCATTAAAAGATTCTTCTTCTTTTTGTTCACTTTTTGTTGGTAATTTATCAGTAATTCGAAATATTCTAGTTATTTTTGAAACACTTTTTAAAGCTAACGGAGATAATTGTTCAAATTTAGAAATTGCCAATTTGGGGAAAATTAATTGAAGTTGACTGAAAATTGAAGAGATTGGGGCGGCTAAAGAAATTAGAAAAAAAATTAATTAAAAAAATAATTAAATACCCAAAATCCCATCATTTAAGGTAGAAAATAAATCATCAGGCAAACGCTGTTCTTTCCCCAAAAGTGTTTTTTCAAGCTGAAAAAAAATCGAAATTTTATTAAAAAATTTTTGGCATAGCGATGGACACTTATTAATTCTTTCCTTATTTATGTTCAGGCAAACCTCCCTTCTAAATTAACCTCAATCTAACAATAAGGTACTTCAGTTAGAATCTGGTTGGTCTCTGGGTGAAGGGGAGAAGGGGATTAGTTCAGCAATACCCTCAATCTAAAATAAACTTAATTATAAGCTTCAATTTTTCATCTCCGTGGGCCTTCATTTATGGAAGAACAGGCATAGTACGTTTCGCACGGACGAAGTGCAAAATAACTCCCTTTGTGTGAAAAAACAATTTTTTAATTCACTAAGTTTTACCCTCAAATGTCTGACAAAAAATGCTTTTAAAATCAAAGTTCCCCTAAAACTCAAATACCCTAACACCTCCAAAATTTAAAAATATAAATATTTTACAAACCAAATCCTTTAATTGACACCTCAAAGCTTTTGTTCTCGGACGTCTTCGTTTTTTAGCAACATTTCTTTTTGCTGTTCTATTTATTTGTTCTTTGCTAGAAGTTTCTTCTCCACTTGCTAATACACTTTCTGAATTACTTTCTTTTTTATCATCCATTTAAAAATCTAAAAAATGAAAAAATTTCTAAAAGAGGAAAGTAGAAAAAAAAGCAAAAATTTAAGTTAAAATTAAGATTTGTTAAAAGACTGTTAAATTGACTCTGTTAAATTGACTCTGTTAAAAGTCAATGTACTTCTAATTTATGCTGGATGGAATCCTGAAATGAATTTTACGAGATTCTGTTCTGGAATTCCCGGGTTTTAAGCGATAAATGAGAATACAGAATTTAAGGTCTAAACCTGTGGGATCCTTTCCCGATCAACCTTTTATAAAAATTTCATTACAGGAACCAAAATTTGCGGGCTCAAATCCGGTCATTAGATTACAGGTTTTATTCTTTTAAATCCTAGTCTCGGTTCGATTAATCGATTTAGATGCCCTACATCCCATAATCGCAAAAATTAAAAAGAAACTGCTAGGAACTGGAAATCCCCAGTCCCACAGAAAACATACAAAAAGGTACTTGCCGAATTTCGTGTTAAAATATTTAAATTGCTAATAAAAACAATTACTTTTAATAAATTCACAAAAAATTTTAAATTAAAATTTAAAATTTTAAATTAAAATTAATCATTATTGCATCTTTTTTGATCGAATAAATTAAAATGAAAATTTCTTAACTAGGGTTTAGCTGACGAACTCCTCAAATAACATGGGTTTTTAACGAAAAAATTTTCAAGTTTTACATATAAATTATTAGCTCTTTCGAAAGAGCCGTCGAGTTGAGTCAAATAACACAGAAATCAGCTTGATTAAATCAGTTTGGATAAAATTACGATCAATATAAACCGATCAAACCTATGGGCGGGGGACGCTTGTACATCTCGCGGGAGTCAGATGCTTCGCCTTCTCAACCCAAAACAACAACCAAAGATGCCATAAAACCGTTAACTTCAAAGCCACCAGCAACACAACAAAATAACAACAAAAACAAGGATAACGACAACAAAAATATCAGAACCAAGAAGGACGAGAAGAAGGGACAAAAGAAGGTTTGTTTGTGAGTACTAAAAGAAAAATAGGCATAAAATAAAAGGACGAAAAAAAGTACGAGCAAATTTCAAAATTCCAAACTTAAAAAATACATTTATAAAAAAAACCTAAATTTTGTTCAATTTTTGAACATTCCTTTCTTCCAAAAAGGAATGTTAAGAAAACCTTGTCCTCGCAAACGAGGAGGAGCTGAAACAGAACGTGGAGGTGGACGAGTATGTTGATTTCGGGCCGGTGTAGAGGATGAGCGTTGTTGACGTGGACGACGAGGTAAAACATTTTGTTGTTGGCGTTGAGCAAGGTGTCTGTCTATTGCGTTTATACCCAGAGTGATGATTCCACTAATTATCCCTTCAAGAATTCCTTCTAAAATTTGCACTCCAATTGCTCCAATAAATCCTGCCATTTTTTAAATCTTAACTTAAAAAATTTGTTAATTAAAATTAAAAATAATAAACTAAGAGTTAAATCTAGAGGACAACTAATGTAAGACTAAGGAGTATGTGTACGAGTTAAGAACTTGTTAATTCGACGACACATAAAATGGGAGTATCTTAGGTATCTTAGAAGGAATTCTTGAAGGGATAATTAGTGGAATCATCACTCTGGGTATAAACGCAATAGACAAACACCTTGCTCAACGCCAACAACAAAATGTTTTACCTCGTCGTCCACGTCAACAACGCTCATCCTCTACACCGGCCCGAAATCAACATACTCGTCCACCTCCACGTTCTGTTTCAGCTCCTCCTCGTTTGCGAGGACAAGGTTTTCTTAACATTCCTTTTTGGAAGAAAGGAATGTTCAAAAATTGAACAAAATTTAGGTTTTTTTTATAAATGTATTTTTTAAGTTTGGAATTTTGAAATTTGCTCGTACTTTTTTTCGTCCTTTTATTTTATGCCTATTTTTCTTTTAGTACTCACAAACAAACCTTCTTTTGTCCCTTCTTCTCGTCCTTCTTGGTTCTGATATTTTTGTTGTCGTTATCCTTGTTTTTGTTGTTATTTTGTTGTGTTGCTGGTGGCTTTGAAGTTAACGGTTTTATGGCATCTTTGGTTGTTGTTTTGGGTTGAGAAGGCGAAGCATCTGACTCCCGCGAGATGTACAAGCGTCCCCCGCCCATAGGTTTGATCGGTTTATATTGATCGTAATTTTATCCAAACTGATTTAATCAAGCTGATTTCTGTGTTATTTGACTCAACTCGACGGCTCTTTCGAAAGAGCTAATAATTTAATGTAAAAATTTGGGTCGCGGATTCGAACCTATGTGGGAAAATTAATTTTTCAATCATCAAAAAATACCTTCCTGACCGTTTTGAGCACCTTACTGTAATATAGAAGAGTTCGAGAGGTAAACCCTTACCAATATTTTAAATAAAATTCTTCTTTAAGTCTTAAATACATCTTTTTAAAATCCTCTATTTATTCTTTAAAAATAACCAAACATATTTATTGCGACAGCTCAAAAGCACGGCGAGTAGATGATTGAACAGCTTCAATAAATGCCGAACGAACACCTTAAAGATTTGTTAAAATTAAAAATTTCAAATTAAAATACCATGTTTTTCAAGTTCCCTAACCCCTTCTATAGTTGTTCCAGCTGGAGAGCAAACTTGGTCTTTCAATTGAGCAGGCGATGGAACGTCTAAAGGAGACACAGATGCCATTTTTGTCATAAAAAGTTGAGCTGTCCCCTACCAATATTTTTCTTTAAAATCATTTATTTAAAAATTCCAAACCTTAACCATATCAGCAGCAAGTTGATTAGCCAATTCACGATTTAATCCAGCAACAACCCCACCATCAGCTAAAGCTTCAATAACCAATGCAATCTATAAAAAATTTTTTTTATTTTGATTAGTCAAGAAACAACTTTAATTGACAAAATTTTGACATAAGAGCAATGAAGAAAAATAGAAACTTATGGGAAAGAGAAATGCTGGTCAAAAGTGAAGTAGTAAGCGAATAATTTTTAAAAGCAAAAAACAAGAAATATCAAAAGAAATCAAATGAAGTCTTTAGGAAGAGAACAGATCGGAAAGAACAATTTGTAAGATAAAAGAAAACCTTAAGGTTGAGGGAACAATTCGTAAAACGAAAACCAGAGGTCAAACGCTTATAGGAATTATAGATGTAAATCAGAACATGGACTTTATTAACTCGAACAACCGATCCAACTTTTGCTTAACTAAGCCCACCCCCAGATAGGAACAATTAGTAGATAGGTGATTAAAATAAACTTACAAAAGCAGGCCCACAACCCGAAATACTCGAAGCTGCATTAAAATGTGCTTCATCAACACGAATACATTTGCCAACATAAGAGCTGAGCACAGAAACTAATTCTACCAATTCTTGAGGTGTTTCAGAGTCAGCCGACAAAACTAAAGTCCCACTGGAGACAGCACAGTTAACATTGGGCATTAAACGCATACTGTGACCATCAAAACCGACAGACCTTAAAATTGAAAATTTTTTATTTCATCATCAACACGAACGCATTTACAAACACAAAAACTAATTGTAAGCAGAGACTCATTTTTAAATACCCCAAAAATCAATGAGCGTAACCAGAGGAGGGGTATTGAAAAGGGTTATAATGGAGTGTACGTCAAAACTTTGGCGTTTAATTTAGCATTAAGCGGGAGGAACCGTCTAAGCGATATCGAAAATTTTAGATAACAATAGCCCTAAAAGAGGAATCCTGCCCTTAAAAATTTTAAAAAAATCTCAACAAACTTCAACTCCTTGTCAAAATGTTGAAGAGAAATTCCACTCATGATAGAAATACAAAGAATTCCTGGCAGACCAAAATAAAACCATTCATTAGCCTTCACTTCATTAATAAATGATGGAAACATTTGTGGCTTAATTGCAATCAGAATAATAGCACGAGGCTTTTTAACTTCAGAGTAGAAAACGTCTTTTGGATAGGCAGAGGTAAAGCCTTGAGAACGCCATGATTTTGCTGTAGCTTCAGAACGTGTGCAAATAAAAATGTTTGATTTGTTGATGAAACCTGAAAATTTTTCGAATAAAGAATTTTGTTTAAAAATCTCTCATCCCCAACCTGAGTTAACAAATCCAGCAACTAAAGCCTTGGCCATTTTCCCACCACCAATAACATTTATTTGAGGTTCTTCTTCGTTGAAGCATTCCAAAAACAAATTTTTAATCTGCAAATTTTTAAAATAATTTTCACTTGATAAAATAAAAAATGTTCCCCATTTAAAAAAACAAAAAGCAGTCACCCCCAATTTTTGAAATTTTTTTTTCTTTTTTCCAATTCTATTTTGGTGTAAACAAAGTTGTTTACAACAAAAAGGGGAATGATTGTTTAAAAATAGAAATCCCTCTCTCACAAATAAAAGTCACAAGGGTGAAGGAGTGTGAGTGAATGTTTGTTGGGTGGGCATAAATAAATTTTTTATCTTAACGTGGCTCTTTTTCTCCGTCCACTATTTAAACAATAAAGTATTTGTTTAAAATTTTAGATTTCATTTAATTTTTTAAATATTAAAATTTAAACAACGATAAAAGATGGACGTTAAACCTCCACCAAGTGCTCCTCAAGACTTGAAAGAAGTACAAAAAGAGAGTATGAATACTTGGAGACCCTTTTTGATTGGAAGTATTTAATGAACGAGATTTTTAAATTAAATTTCTCGTTAAAGATCGAATGCGTACCACTTCTGAAGATTCAGCAGAATCGTTTGATGCGTATGACAAGTCTTTTGATGCCTATGATATAGGGCATGTTTTTTTTAGATTTTATATCCTTTCCCAGATTTGAGGTGTGTGGAGCGTAGAGAAGTTTCTGATCCGAACAAAAAATTCCAATATCCCTGGACTTTCTTCCGAGTTGATCTCCATGTCCACTGACCCTCCCCAGACCTATTAATATTAGGGACATGAAGCAACCCCTAATCTCCAACAAAAATTATAAATTCAAAAACCGTTTCCCCCTTCGAAACAAAATTTTTTATTGAAGAAAAAAGGAGCAGCGTCGTCAAAGCTTTACCGAACAATTTCTTGGTTCATCAATGCCTGGCCGTTTACGCAGCAATTCTACAACAACTGAATATGAGGGACAAGAAGCAACTTTTAAGAAGGTTGATTTCAAACAATTTATGAAACATCAAAGAAAGATTCTTGGAGATGATGAATGGCAGTGAATATAAAACGGAATTTGAGTTAGTGGAAAAAAATATTTAATTTTGAAGATAAATCGCGTCATTGTATGTAGACTTTAATCTATTTATATATTTATCAACTGGAATAAAAATTTTCTTAAAAGTATTAACACACCCAGCAAAATACAGGGACTGTAGGAGAGAGAGGACTCGATTAGTATCAATAGCCGTACGGACATTAAATTACTCATGGAAATTTCAGAAAAATTCTAGGGCTTACATTGCACCAGTTTATGGAACGTTTTGCGAAACTGAGCTTTTTCTCTTGAGAGTTGCAATTTTTAGAATGTCAGGCCAAGTCTAAAACCGAATCATAAAAATAAAACCTTGTCTGTTATGGCAAATTACAAGTAATTTTTCATAAACCTCGGTGCAGTTTAAGGCAACAGGGCCTGTATTTTTATTAAAGTACTTGAGAAAACTCACATTTTTCGTTCCATCCATCACTTGTTTACCAGTCCTCGGTGCAATTTTCAAATCAAAGCTGTCTTATTCCAATTTAAAGTGTCTAAACAAAAATATTAAAAGTTAAATCTCAATTTAAAAATAATTAATGTAAAATTAACATTAAAATGAAAAAAATATTATTCTAATCAAAGGCAGTTTTATTCAAATAAATTTAAGCGAAAATTTAAAAAATATTTTTTTTTAAATGAGATTTATTGTAATCTTTTCCATGTTTGCTTGTTAAAATTGTCAGGGAGATCAAAATTAAATACAATAAATGGCTAAAGGTGAGGTTTTAAAACAAAAGCATCAAAAATATTGTTCGGCAAAAATTTAATTAATCGGATATTCCAGCCAACAAACGTTGTTCTTCCTCGAATATCTAAAAGAAATTAAAAAGAAAATTCAAAAAATAAATTGGAAAATAACCTGATGATGTCGTTCAAGTTTAAGCAATTTTAATTGAATATGATCGGTGACATTTGGTACTGGGGAAGTTTCTCGTCCTAACAAATGTTCTCTTCCACCATTTTTCTGTCCATTTTGTATATTGTCATCCACAACTTTAATTTCCAAATTCCCCATATTTGCCAGAATAAGTGTAACAAGTAAATAACGAGAACGATCATATTCATTTGGAATTGATTGAAGCATCTAAAAATTAAAAGGGTAAAATAATTAACTCTTATTTATAAGATTTTGCGTTAAATTTCATGGGACAAAATAAAAAAAAATCTGTGATTTCCTGTCGAAATGGACTCCTAAAGCTCGGTTTAGAAAATATCAACAAAATTTAAAAATAAAAAAGGATTCTTTAAAACAACATTGGAAATTCCAAACTTTCCTTTTTTTAATTTAAAATAAATAAAATTTGAACAAACTTGAGTAAAATCAACTTCAGTTCCAATCTGCCCATCGAATCTATCAAGAAGTTCATCCCCATATTGTCGAGTATCAAATTCACGATGTTGACTTTCTTCATCCAAAGCTAGGGTCATTTTTGCTTCCCACAATTGCATACGCTCACTGAATTTTGAAGTTGCAGCTTCTGAAGCAGCCCAATACCTTTGGGAAAATTTGTAGAAAAAATTTAAAAAATTTCAAACTTTCGTAAATGAAAAGCAATAATTTCATCATAATCCATTTGGGAAGGCGGACGTTGTGGTAAATCATCAGGATTGAAATCAGCTTCAATTATTGTATCATCATAAGCATTTCGCATATTTTGAGCTAACTAAAGAAAGCAAATTCTAAAATTATATGTCTAAAAAACAAAACCTTATCAGCCAAAGCTTTTTTATTTCGAGGTTTACTGCTAACCAAATGCTAGAAAAAAATTATAAAAATTATTCTCAATAGATATAAAGAAACAAACGTCAAAACCAGTGTACATATTTCTTATACCACCAAGAGAATTCTCCAAATCATCAACATCCAGAACATCACAAAGATTTGCTTGGGCGTCAGGAATATCTCCAATAGGTTCATCGTCAATGACTTGGGCTGCTTAAAGTTTAAGATAAAAATTTTTAAAGGAAAATATTAGAAAATGTCAAATTCCCCAACGTTCAGAAATAGATGCAATCCTATATCTGACCCAAAAATTCTAAGGCAAAATTAAAATCAAAATTAAATTCCTCACACAATTCCTCTGCAATAATTTCTTCCAATACATCCTCACATTCATCATAATCACCAATCACTCCATTCTGTGGATTATCATTCGCATTATTCTCATTCAAAGTCGCATCATTATCATGAAGTTCATCATCGTCAGGGTGATCAAAAACTGGGTCCATTACAGTTCGCTCAGATGCACGACGGGCAAGAATACGTTCTTCACGTTGCACAGCCTGAAATTAAAACAATCTCCAATAAATAAATGAGAAAACCTGACGTTCCTTCGCCAATTTCTTTTGAAAGTCAGCTCGTCTCTTTTCTTCGTCGTAAATCAAAGGGTTCAATGAAAATACTGCCTGAAATTATTTTTAAAATAACTAGACTACAAGATTTCCATTATTGGTGGTCTAGAGAATCAAGTGCCCTCCCTTCTGAAAGACCCCGAGGTGGAAAGTTTGGCGAAAATTCTAATGTAAGAAATCACGCGTAGCCAAAAGTGAGTAATCTGGCTTCTGTCCGATATCTATTTTAGAGAAAAATTCTAGTTTGATTCGCTCTGAAATTCTTTGCCCAAGTACAAAATTAAAAAAACCTTATCCATAAGAAAACAATTAAATTGTCCAAAAGCAACATTTCTCTTTTTAAGACGATGACGAAACATTTGTGTATTTATATATCCTTTTACAGACCTTTCATTAGCTACACCTTTTTGTTGACATTCTCTCTTCAATTGAAAATTTAATTTAAAAATTAATTTTCAAAAACAACCTCAATTCTTCTATCCCTAGCAGCTATTTGTTTAGCAGGATCAGTAAAGCAATTTGCCTTCTTTTTGAACGGTTTGCTTTTTTCGTTGTTAATTTCTAATGGGTCCAACAATTCCTTTAAATTAAAAATTTATTTTTTATAAAATTAAAGAACAAACATTATTGTAAATAGCATCAACCCTCACTGAAGTTCTCAATTCAGAATTACACGAAGACCTAAGTTCGACGGATGAATTTATAATTTCAGAATTTTGAGGTTGAAAAAGATCTTAAAAGTTGATTTTCAGGGTAAAAATTCATCCACAAAAAGACTAACTAGAATGGTAATTATCCAAGCGAGTTCTGGCTGTCCGTTGTTCCTCAGCTTCGAGAAGTTCAGTATTCCCAGTAATAACTTCATTTTCATCGGGAAACCCGTTAACATCTGGCATTTCGATGTCATGATGATCTACGTCTAAAAACAATTTTTAACTACTTTACAGTTAAGAAAAAACCTTCATATTCCTCTTCTGCACTTCTCTCCAATAAAGGCTCCAAGACTTGAACAAACCCTCCAGGATCATTTCGTTGTTGAGCGTTGTTATTGTTAGCTTGCTTTTGAAAATTTTGGTGCTGTGGAGTTTCAGAGAACTTTTCAATCAGAGAAATGTGTTGAAGATCCAACAAAGCAACTGACTAAAAAATAAAAGTAAAAAAGTACTGAACATAGGAACGTTGGTAGAAAAAAAATATGGGCAAAAAAGCAAAAGGAGTTTCGAACTCAATCCTAAAATTCCGAGCTTATATTGCCATCAATGCCGTTCTCGTTCGGCGGAAGGGCATCAATGCCCATCACGTTGAATACTGTTAAGTCTATAGTCAGTCACCAAAACTTGTAAAAGAAGGCAAATATTTTGCCCAATTGAATACCATAAAATAAAATAAAAAGAAACCTCAAACATATGACACGAATTGATTCTAAAATCATCCTTCTTTCCAATCTGTTCCTTAGAATTTGTCCGAGTGTAGAGGGGCACATCAGTTTTTTCAAAATCAGACAACGGGATAAAGGCAATTGGAACAATTGGAAGTAGGGGAGCCGGTTTATTGCTTAGACGCTCCAAAAGTGATCTCATATACGGGAAGCTGGTCTGAAAAGGAAAATAAATTTCAATTAAAAAATAAGAAAATACTTTTGGTTTCTGCTTTTCATGCCTAACTTGTTGATCATCCTCATCAGCCAGTTCACCCTCTTGACCATCATTAGCGTCTAAAAAAATTTTTGAACGGAATTCTTAAGAGAAAGTTACTTACTTTTCTTTTTATTTTTTCCTTGTGGTTTATCCTCCTTCAGTTCGTCAAAGAAATTTAAAGCAATTTGGAGAACATAATCTATTTTCTTCACATAAACATTTGTTGTCCCATGAATTAAAAGTGCTGCTTCAGCAAAATTAAAACTGTGAAATGAGATCAAATATTTTCAAAAGTGACGCTAAAGGTTTCATTTCCCCTAAGTTTCTTTCCCTCAAACATCTTTTAATTGGACTTCGAATCAAATCGATATGTAGAGGCAAGGGAGGGTTCGTCTGCCAAGAGGAATGGGACAGACACGAGGAAGCTCATAGGAAGATGTCTCCTACTTAAACATCTTAACTTAAACATCTTATTGTTAAGAAAATCTCAAAGCTCAGCCTTCAGGTAAACCCCAACTTAAAGATAAAAACAAACACTTTTCTGCGTCCATCACTTCCAACCAAAACAGCATTTGAATCATCTTCAACGACTTTTTGAATATAGTCCTCAAGTGTTTTGGCTATGTCCACGTCCCAATTAGTGGCTAAATCTTTAACCGGTTGAAGAAGAAATTTATAGCGCTCCCCAGCACCATCAAAGTCGAAAATCTCTGTCGTCATACTTAAAAAAGGAGTGAAATAACTATGTCAGATTATGTAAATTCAGAAAATGAAAAAATATGAATTAAAGATAATAAACAAATACAATTAATCCAGTACATTATCAAACACCAAATTTATCTTAAAAAAATTTTTGATTAAATATTATTATACATATATTTATAATCGTATAATAAATTAAAATACCTATTTATTTATAATATATTAGAGATGGGAAATCGAAGGCGGAAGAAAACGGAAGAAAATAAAAAATGGAAGACGAAAACGGAAGAGAATAAAAGAAGGAAAAATACGAAAACCGAAAAAATCCCATCCCTAACGCAAACCTATTTATTTATTTATATATTTATTTATTTCAGAAGTAGGTCGGAACCGTCAGAGGTGTCGGAAATTGGAAGTCGGAAATCGCAAGGAATAAAACGACGGAAATCGGAACTCTGACCCACCTCTGATTTATTTATTTTTACGTCTACTTCTTCTTCTTCTTATCTTTCTTCTCCTCTTCCTTCTTCTTTTTCTTATCTTTTTTAGCTTTCTTCTTCTCTTCCTTTTCCTTCTTCTTCTCTTCCTTCGCTTTGCTCTTCTCCTCCTTCCCTTTCTTCTTTTTAGGCGGCTCCTCCTCAGTTTTTGTATTGGTAGTGGTAAACTTTGAAGTTGTTGGTTCGGCTGTTGTTGTACCTGCTAATTTATGTTAAAATTAATAAGGGAGTAAAGACAGGAAAGAACGGGATTAAGTTCCCATAGCTATTTTTGGGTTTTCTGTCGAAAATTAGTTAGCTCCTCGATCTTCATAGGAGTATATCTCGGTTTTTCGGTAGGTCAAAAAAATTTCGATAAGTCAAAATTTTCAAAAGTTTGTTTTGCAATGTTAACACATCGCCAAATAATCTTTTGGAGAGAAGATGGAAAAGGAGAAAAGAAAAATTGAAAAAATTCTTTATCGTCTCACAATCAACATGCCACAGGGTAAATAAAGTGAAATTGAGGAAGGGAGAGTCTGACTATTATTTCTATTTTTGAGAAATAAGTTGTGGACAAGGCGGACTTTTGGGCCCCATAATTGAAAAGAACCCAGAATTTTACACGTGACAAAATTTAATTAATCTAAATTAATTATTAAAAAAACCTTTTCCTTCGCCTCCAAACACAAAAATTGGTTTAATGATGATTATTGGCGGAGGAGTTGGTGGTGGAGTTGGTGGCGGAGTTGGCGGTGGAGTTGCCGGAGGACTCGGAGTTGGCGGAGTTGGTGAAGGTGGAGGGCTAGGAGAAGGTGGTGGAGAAGCTGAAGGCGTTGGGGCCTGACCAAAAGAAGAACGCCACAGGTGCCGAATTCCAACGGCAATTGACGTGAGAACATCCCCAATAAACTTCAAGGTAGCCATTTTTCTTTAAATAAAATTTAAATCCTACTTAACTATGCGATAAATTTTTTTATTAGAGATTGGTACCCGGCGTTTTTTCGATTTCATTGCGCCTATATCTGGGTCCACAGGCATGTATGATATGGGAGAGTGATACCATTCGACTCTATTCGCCTAGATAAATCGAATAATATAAATATGAAGGGTTTTTGAATGCCCCACGACTAAAGTACAGTCGTTAAGAAATTTCCTCAAAAAATATAAAAACGGCCCTACTTCAGTTTATAAGTCCAATCGCACTTTATAAGTGCCGGACTTGTCCCTCGGCGTTTTTTCTATTTTATTGTGTCTATATCTCGGTCCATAGCAGTTCCTTACCCTGTGGCCGTTCCTTACCCTACCCTTCGAAATTTTTGAAAGTTATACCCAATTTTTAATAATCTCAGAAAAACGTTTATAACTTTCAAAAATTCGAGGGGTAGGGTAAGGAAAGGCCCTATACCAGTGGGCGTAGTCCAAAACATGAAGAAATGTTATGGACCACACTTCAACTTAGAAGCACGTACAAAAATCCAAAATTATTTTGATTATTCATAAAGTTCGATTGGACTCATAAACTGCAGTAGAGCCTAAATAATGAATCACTAAATTAATTGTAAGCCGTTCTAAATCGGCTGGGCATGTAAACGGTTTTCAAATTTAAAAAATTTAAAAAATTAAAAAAAAAATACTTTTGAGAGAAAGAGTTGTTAAAGAATTATTAGAAGATGAAAGATTTTCTGTAGAATTGTTCAACAATAATAACTTCACAATCCTTTTGTTCTTCTTTTGTTTCTTTTAAGTTTCTTTTTTCCGTTACTGAAAAATTAAAATTTATAAGTTAGAATTAATGATCTTTTTGCTTCAGATGTTTTTTATTTTTTAAGTGAAGGTTGGGGATGTTTCGGCGCGAGAATGTTAATGCTTACACTTATATTCTTTATTGTTAATGAAGGGCGCTTTGTTTTTAAATGTGGAAAGCATCAGTTAGCCCTAAATCGGGTAAAAAAATAAAAATCAAGAAAGAATTGGCCTGATCAGATCTTAGTAGGAAGAGAGAGGTGTTTCTAGAATTCTTGATAAAAAGCGCGCAAAAAGAAGGAAGCCGAAATCGGCAAAATCAAAAAGAGGAGAAAACGGAAAAGAAACTTGAAAAGCGGAAAAAGATCGGTCCCTTTGGCATACTGTATTATCTTTGGCATACTGTATTTAAATTATCAGCTAATTTATTTAAAAGATACCTAAATTCTTGTGCAGTAATATACCCATTCCCGTCTTTATCAAAAACACGAAATGCAAGTCGTATAAGTTCTTGATCAGTTTCTTTATTCATTTCCTTCATCATTTTACAAAATTCACTAAAATCAATTCCATTCCCATCAACATCATACTTTAATTTTTATTTATTTTTAAAAATTATTTTTCCTTTTAATATTTACTTCATTAACCATATTGAGCAATTCATCTTCTGTTGGATTTAATCCTAAAGTTCTCATAGCCACTCCAATTTCCTTTATACTCATGGTTCCGTTTCCGTCTTTATCGAACATCTACCAAAATAACAAAAGTTTTTTTAACTTCTACTTATCAAGGGTTTCTCTCTCTATTATTGCACCTTTCTCTCTAAGATATCACACCTTTCTCATGTTAACACACACCTGTTATCTCTATGTATTATGCCCTTTACTAAAACACGGAACGACAAAAAAGAATATTTCTAATATCAGAATTTAAAAATTCTGATTTTTCAAAACATTCTGATCTTTAAGATATTCCGTGTTTGTCGTTCCGTTTTGGAATTACTCATTTTACCCTTCACCCAAAAATATTCTTTAAAAATTAGGGTTTGAGAAGATAACTTTTATACAGTCAAATAAATCAAAACAAATCCAGGGCATAGAGCCTAATTTAAACAAAACTTGGCACATCGGCTCTTTTCAATTTAAATAGACTAGCTATAAATATCTCCTAGGCCTGGCTTGAGTTATAAAAATAATTTGAGTTATAAAATATCCTCTCAAACACAAAAAGGTATTCATTTTTATTAAATCATCTGCCCCTAAGGATTTCTAAAATCTAAATTAGCACCAACCAACTGAACAATTACTTGCTGACTTCCTGGAATACCAGAAGCCAAAGTAAGAGGAGTTTCTCCATGAGAATCGTGAAAGTTTGGATCTAATCCTTGTTGACATAAACGATCCAATTTTTAAATATTTTTGTTTTGTACAGCCTCAGAGAATTTACGTAAATTACTTTTTGAATGAACAAAACGAAGTGTTTTTTCATCTAATCGTAACATTTTATAAACTAATACTGATTTAATTGTTGAGGTAATGATTCAAATAAACGTTGTTTTATATCCCAAACAAATTCATCTAATGGCACTGACAAACATTTCTGTAATTATTTAAAGGAATACAATTTAATGTTTTTTGTTTGGAAACTCGCATCCAAAAACCGGTCATTAAATTGAAAAAAAATACTTTTTGGCTTGCTTTTAATTTTAAATCATAATATTTTATATTTTAATATATGTACTTATTGTCTTAAATGTTTATTAAAAAACAAAGCTTTCTACTCTGGCAAAGAAATATAATATACTTATGTTAGTATGTTTTATACATATGTAATATACCGTATTTTTCCAAATAAAGCCCCATTCTCTAATACAGACCCAGTCTGGAGCACAAAATAAGGAGCACTATTTTAGAAAAAATACAGTCCCATTCCCTATTAGAGCCCCACTCTCTAATACAGCCCCACTATTGTAAGTCTAAGCAAATACTAAATTGAGTCATCCTGAAAGCCTCCTGATCAACAAACTATTTTGATCAAACAAATTTCTTTTTGATTTAATAATCGGGATTTGAAGTCCTCTTAATCCCTCCAAATCCACAGATATCCCTCAAAATTTCCCCAATATCCCCTTGGACTTCCATACTAATATCTACGATACTATAGAACGGAAAGGGAGTGCCGTACGGGAAATCATGAATCTCGAAATTATCTGCTATTTTTAAAAATTTGACTTACCAGGGTGATATCGAGAATCAAGGAGAGGGATTAATAGATATCACTAATATCATCTTTCACCCAAACCCCTTTAATCCTACGATATTCTCTTAATCGAAATTACTATTCGACTCTTGTATTTTCTCAAGTTATCTCCCAAACGCCTCTAAAAGCTTAATCCAGATTCTCGATAATTCTATATATCACGCAAAATCTCTCTATATTCCATAAAACCCTCCAAATCCCCCGATTGTGTTGATACAGTGTCAATAGGAATTAAGGTTTTGGTAGAAAAAATAAGAAAATATAGTTGAAATATAAAGCCCCATTCTCTATTAGAGCCCCATTCACTAAAACAGCCCCAGTCTAGAGGATAGTTGAAAAATACAGCCCCATGGGGCTGTATTTGGAAAAATACGGTACTCTGTATATTTTTCCAAATCACAGAAAGACCAAAAAACGGAATATTTTTACAATCAGAATATTTTTAGAATTCAGAATTCTTAACAATTTTAAAATCAGAATATATTCAAAAAATTAGAATTCTTTGGAATTTTAAAATTCTCATTTTATAAAAAATTCTGATTTTTCCCTTACTAAATTGTCTATGCATTGCAGCTCCAACAGAAGAATCTGTCCCGTTACTATTTCCTAATCCTTTTAAAGGTTTAAAAGGAGAAAAAGAATTTGTTGCTGGTGGAGGAGGGGGATATTGTTGTTGTTGTTGTTGTTGACTTCTTGCTGAATAACAACCTCCACCAACAATATATTGTTGTTGAGAATAATTTAAACAATTTTCGCTTCTGTGATGTAAAGGAGTTGAATTTGGATTTAAATGAGGCACAAATGTTGTATGTCTGAAGGAATGTTGTTGGGGACTGTTGTGGAAATAAAAGGCGATATTGGAAAGGTTTAATTGGTGCGGCTTAATTACCCTAAAATTATGTAAAGTTTTAGTTTAGCAAAAACGAAAGTTTTAGTGAATTTTGTACCGAAATAACACTTACAAAAAATTTTCAGATAAAAAATATCGATTTTGTAATATACTCATAAAATAGGGTAAAATAAACAGGGTGTCCAAGAAAGCAAAAAAACTAGATCAAAATGTATTGATTTTTAATCAAAATTTTAAACAAAAATTTTAATCATTAACGTTAAACGAAACTAAGAATAAAAGAACTTTAAAGATACGATTTTATTTCAATTTCGCTAAGTAAGCAAATTTGGTTGCTTAGAAAGGAAAATCAATAAGAGAGAAATATAACACAAAACGGGTACAGCCTAAGTAGGCACGCGGCCATAACGGCGCAAAGCCATAATTTGCTTCAAGATTTCCGAATCTTACCAAATAGAGTATTAAACGATTCCTTCTATCGAACTAAAGAGATTGGTACCAAAATTGACAAGGGCCAGAAGCTATGTCTTTGCGCCGTTATGGACGCGCGCCTACTTGGGCGTGTCCCCACAACGAGTCGCCGCTCCTATACAAAAGACCGACGCGGCCAGAAAGGGTTGAAAGACCGATAAAAAATACCAACTGATACATCATTCGTTTTCAATAAATTTCCACTAATTTTAGGCAGAAAAAGAAGTTCTGAAACATTAATTTCGTTGATCTTGGAAAACACCCATTGTTCTTGACTAGGGTTGCTGTTTTCGAGTCGGGCAGACGTTCGAGTCATTTTTTTCGGGCCGGCCCGACCTAGTCTTTTTCGGTATCGGCATTTTACCGAAAAAATACCGATAGTACCGGTATCGGATGAAAATGCCGCGGTATTTTTCGGTATTTTGGTATTTTCCAGCAGAAGATTCTCATTAGTTTTATTAGTTTCGTTCCCCATACTAGCTGAATAAAATGACAATATTTGTCATTTTTAAATCATTTTAAAAAATTTTAATTTATTGTCGAAAAGTCATGGAGCCAAAATTTTTTGGTTATTAATTTATAAAAATTAATAACATACATACATACATATTTTAACCTAAGGAAGGAATACTTTTTCGTATAAACAAATTTGGAGTCCAGTTATATGTACACTTTAGTTAAATTAATCCGTAATTGTATCTGTGAGCAGAGATCCACGAAAATAAAATTTTTCGCTCGACTAAACGAAATATAAAAAATATAAACAAAAATGAAACGAAGAATTTTTTACTTTTAAGATATGAAGAAAAAATTTTTAATTTTCTTGAAATACCAGATACTAGCAGAGGTCGGTCGGAATTCCGATTTCCATAATCGAAAACCTAACATCTAGCGTACCAGAATCAAAATGCGTTTTTAAACTATTAAAGTCCGAGACAGTTCCCTTTAAATTCCCAATGGAGATCCAGTTCTGCGCTCCATCCCTCAATTCATATTTACAGTGTGTTAATAAAGTAGGGTTGTTCACTACCGATTATTAACCGGTACCTCCAGTTTTCGGTTAGTCCAAATTTTAAAAACCCGGTTTTCGGTTTTGAGTTTTAAATAAATACCAGTTTTATTTGGATAGAATTTTGAAAAAAAATCACTCATTTTTATATAACCGGTTTTCGGCTTTTAAAATTTCATAAAAACGTTTTAATTTTTTGCAAAAAATCTCAAAAACCCTACTAATAACGATAAAGTTAGTAATCGGAATTTCGTACAATACCGATCAGGGCCAGTACTATAAGAACGGTTAACCGGTACTATATGAAATTTTGGTTAACCGGTACTATATGAAAAGCCCTTTTTAGTCATTTAACCCCTACAGAGTGGTAGATCTCAGACCCTGCTCTATAGCAGGGTTAGCAAAAATTCCGAAGACTATAACTCGGTTCAAGTAAATTGTAAAATTACAAAATTTAAATTCTTTAGAGTGTGTTCAACCATCTATAGAAATTTCAGAATTTTTGGATAGTTATTTTCAGAGTTATAGGGAAAATCGCAAGGTACCCCTTTTTAGCCAGTTTTAGCGTTTAAAAGTGTGGTAGGCTTATTTAAAAATTCTATAACTTTAAAGAAAGTGAAAGAAATTTTTAAATTTCTTTCACTTTTTAAATAGAGAATTATCGGCTCTATCTGAAAGGAGTGCTCGGATCGCATTTTTCCTTCCTTAGATTTTTTCCTTACTTCTTCTTCGCTTTTTAATTTCATTCTATTAATTTTGTTCAATTTCTAAATTTATAAATAAAATATTTATTATTTATTTTTATTATTTTTAATAAAGTTTTTTAAAATTTATAATTTTTTTAAAGTTTATTAATAGTTGAGTGGAATTATGCTGGGTCCATTCTAAAACTAAACCTAGGCACTGTTACCATTATATTCCCTAAGGAAAGCTATTGGGTTGGCCAGACCCTAGCTAAGCCTTTACCAAGCAACACCGGTGTGCTTCCTCTTTGGGCACATATAAAAGACTGACTAACTGGGAACTGATTTATCGGTGAAACAATAAACAATATATAAACATAAGCATGTGAATGGGAGGTGACACAGGAAATAAAGATAAATAATAATTATAGTGTAATGGTTGGGAAAATCCATTAACACATAATGCTCGCCCAAAAGATCACCTTTGCTTAGGCAATCAACGGATATACCTTACACCTCCCTTGCCCACCTAGACCGTCCCTGGTCGTCTTTAAATGTTAGGGTGCCCCTTCTCCTATCATTTAAATGAAACATGGCATTTATAAGTATAGACTTTTTTTAGACAACTCTTTCCATTTACATTATCACGTACTTAA